TTCTATCACATAAATATACCTATGTTACCTCTAGTTGACAAAGACAATTGAGGTTAAGCATAGTAAGGAAACAGCAGAAGAGTCAAGGTCGGAAAGAAGAAAACTTTATGTTTTTACCACAAAGCATGATTCGCCTGAATGTCTCCTTTTGTTTGGTGCCCTAGACTCAGCTGATTGATTGAGTGCAAGATCACGTACAGCAAGTTAGCCCATGTTTATAGAAGCAACTATCGGCAGAATTCGGAAATTTAGACAACAGATCAGTTCAAGTCTGTTTGAACGGTGGCAGCAACAGCATTGAGTTCGCTTTGCACAAAAATACTGGTAGATAAGGCGCAAGCTAAGGCGAGATCAGTTCTAGTAATAAAATTCAAAATCTTACAACGCTGCACTGAACTTGGTTTTGAACTGGGAACATTGGCTGTGATTTTGGCTTGGATAAATTTTTATGCTTTTCTGCATACATGCAAGTGCAATAATTGGCCAACGCACGGGCTGTCCGTGCGAAGATGCGTTTTTTACATAGTTCCCCGCAGTTTTTGTCGCTACCGGTATCGGTTTTTTCGACAAATCTTTCTAGGTAAATAGATTAAGACTGGCCCCAAAACTGGCAGGAAATACCCTTTAAAATTTCAGCTTTCTATCTTTCCTGGCTCCTGAGTTAGCAATTTATCCGAAAAAAACTTTGGCGGACCCGTACGCGCTGAATTTGAAATCTTTGAGTTCTGTGTGGGCGGGGAACATGACCTCAAAATTTAGCTTTCCTGGTTTCCGAGTCTGCGATTCCCCCTTCTCCCTCTCCATCCCCCCCCCCCTCTCCCCTGCCTCCCTTCCCCCTAAAGCTTTCACTGTATCGTATGCAGGGCCCAGATGCGAGTGAGGGTTGGCACCGTGGTCCCGGGATGGCACTTGGCCGAGGGATCTATTGGCAAAATTTTAGCGCCAGAGCTTGCTTGGTGTCGAGTTGAAATATCCGGACACACGCACACACACATACATACATACATATATACGTACATACATACATACATACATACGCACATACATACATACATACATAACAAACATACATACATACATACATACATACATACATACATACATACATACATACATACATACATATATATACATACATACATACATACATACATACATACATACATACATACATACATACATACATACATACATGTATATACATACGAATATACACATACATTCATGCGCACACACCGGGGTCGTCGCAGTATGTGTTTTCGCATTTGCATATATACAAAAACGCTTAAAAACCAGAATTTAACGCATTATGAAATAAATCCCTGATCTTGATTTCGAAATTTGTAACAAATTAAAGAACTTTCCCTGCCCCCCTCGATAGAGTGAAATATCTATGTGAGAGTGAAGAGGTAGAGGCACTTGTAAGCAGTCTAAGTGATTACCGGTGTCAACCATTACCGGCGCTAGCGATTCCCGGCATTAGCACATTACCGGCGTCAACCACTCAAAGTTTCGCAAAAGCGACCTTGACATACGTGTGATATGTGAATTACTGGGATTGCGTTTGCGG